CAGAATTCAGCAGACACTCAGCTAGATTTCCTGCCCTCCTGCGGGGTCCCCTCCCACCGCCTGGCCCCCATACCCCCAGGCTCTGCGGGACCCTGGCTCTGTCTTTGCAAAGGAGGGATCTGCATGTTTTTTTGTTTTTGTTTTGCTTTTGCTTTTTTGGGTCACACCCGGCAATGCATAGGAGTTAGTCCTGGCTTTGCACTCAGGACCCACTCCTGGCAGTGCTCAGGGGACCCTGTGGGATGCTGGGAATCGAACCCTGGTTGGCCGCATGCAAAGCAAAAGCCCTACCCGCTGTACTATCCGCTCCAGCCCCGGGATCTGCGTTTTTGAAGCTGTGGGACTAAGAGAAGAGAGTCGGTAACGGTCTGGGGGCTCACGTCAAAGACAAGGGGAGCACAGCCGCATGTGGGGAGGGTTCACCCTTCTGTGTGTGGTGGGGACCCCCGGAGATACATGGGGGAGTGCGGGAGGGGAAAGGAAGAAATGGAAGAGAAAACGCGCTCCCCTTTCTACCTGCCCTTCGGCAAGGCCGGGGGTGGTGAGCAAACCCTCAGCTATAAAATATTTCCTTTCAGTGTTGTAATTACTAAGTAATGATGTGGGGCGGGCTGCGTATGAATCGTGTTGATTAATAGCACACGGGTAGTTATTAAACATCTGCTTCCTGGGGCTAGAGCCATAGGACTGCGGGTAAAGCACTTACCTTGCACGCAGCCAACCCGGGTTCAATCTCTAGCTTCCGTGGAGGGGTCCCTGAGCACAGAGCCAGGAGCAAGCCCTGTGCATCTCTGGGGTAGCCTCCAAAATGAAAAGTTAATAAATAAAACATCTGCTTCCCAGTGGCGACCGGTGGTTGACACACCTGCTTTGTGTACTAGGACAGCGAGGTGCTCATGCACACATGTGCATATACGTGTGTAATGTGCGCACATATGTGTGCTCTGTGTGTGTGTGTGTGTGTGTGTGTGTAAGAGAGCCTGGCCCAGTTAGGAGGCCCTTCCCCTCACCGGTGCCCTAATGCCACCTTCATAACTCACAGCTTTCCCTGGGGCACGGAGCCGTGACCTGACCTGGGCCTGCCCACCCTGCTGGGGACAGGGGGCAGGTGGGCTGCCCCCTGGGAGCCATCTACTCAGTGGCTTGAAACTCGCTCAGCCCAAAGACAGAGACTGGCCTCCTGGCTACTTCCCTGTGCCGTGTGGGACGAAGTTCTTGCTGTCGGACCCATGTGGGTGGAGGCCTTAAGGCCGCCCTAGCCCAGCCCCTGCACCTGGATTCCACGATGTGCAGGAGCCCTGCTCGGGTGCCTTTACCACCCTTACTTGCTGTGTGATCTCAGGCCAATCGCTCCCCTTCTCTGTTCCATGAAATGGTGAGCTGCGCTCCAAGCTCCCTCGGACGGCCTCTGGGGCTCTGCCGTCCATCCGCAGTCTCCGACCCAGTTTGTACTAATTAGGAATCCGAGATGATTTAAATTGAATAGCTGTGTTCCTCAGCGAGTAAACCATCGGAAATGATGCCCGCCGTCACGGCTTCTCAAAGACTCACTGGTGAGCGATGAGAAGCCAAGCTGAAATCAATAGCTTTTATTCTGCAGACGGAGAAACGGCGGCTTGGGCGGGCCGCGGCTGGGCACGGCTATTCATTCTGCTCTTTTAAATTTTTATGCTTCTGTTTATGGACTGCCATTAGGTAATATGGATCTGTCCTGAAGGTTGATTTTTTTCATTAGCTTAACTCATTTTACTTATTAGTTCGCGTTTATAGGCCGGGTTTAATAAGCGCGTGGTGCGAGAGTCATAAAGCAGCCCTTCTTTGACAATATTTTAAATTCAAGTCTGTGCCGAAGTCGTTCCAGGTTTATTTACTCATCGCTGGTTTCTGTGATTGGGCGCCGGCGCTGCCAATCTGCTGTTTGACCTTGAACATCGCCTAGTGACCTTGGACACCAGCATCACTGGGAAAGGGCGGTGCTGATGCATAAAACCCACACATGCTTACTTTTGTGGGGAGGCTCACTCCTGCCGGGCTCAGGGGGACCGTAGATGGTGCTGGGGATCGAGCCGGGGTTGGTCGAAATGCCGAACCATTTTGAATCAAGCATCCTCCCTGGGCTGAGAGGGCTTCTTCTCAGGCACTCTGGTGGAATTCTGGGCCTTTAGGGAAAGGCTTTGCTTTGGGTGCCTTCGAGGAGGGGAAACTGAGGCACAGAGGAGCTCTGTGGCCTGCCTGTACAATGCCAGGGGTGTCAGTGCCAGTGCCAAAACACCAGGCCAACATATCTGAGTGCAGCCGCCATCTCTCTCCCAAGTCTATGTCACATCCCCCACCCCTCCCACACGTGTGCACATACTTATACACATGCACACACATATATGTTCACACGTGTGGGCCTAGATCCACATACACATGTGGACACATGCGGACACATGCGGACATGCACATAAGCACGTGCACACACAGTGTTCCCCGCCCCCCCACTCATGCCCCACAGGCTGGTCTCGTGTCCCCCAAGTCACACCCACCCTGGGCTGCTCCAACCGCTGCCTGGGTGAGGCTGCTCATTGGGGGGTGTCTTGCAGGAAGTGTGAAAATGAGGGTGTCATGAGGCTGGGGTGGAAATGAGAAGTGGAAGCTGGGGGTCCCCCCAGAAAGCCTCTTCATCTAGCAGGGTGGGGAAGGGGAGCCCGGAGACCACCCCAAACGACATTGTGCAGAGAGGGGCTGGTGTGATGGAGACCCACGGGAGTGGAACTCTGAGGTGCCAGCTGCTCAAGCCGTGCCCCTTGGGCCCCTCCTGCCACCCTTTATTGATTTCTTCATCATCCCCTTTGGGGCAAAGTTCAGTCCAGGCCACCCCTCTCTGAGAAATGTCATTTCTGCCCCCAACCTTCTAGTGCTCCCTTGAGCTCGCTCGCCCGCTGCCTTCTGGGGTGACGCAAACATTTGCCAACCTGCTGAGTGCTGGTGCCGTCTGCATTGGAGGGGCAGACTGGTGAAACGTGGGGACCCCTGGGCGGGAGGGGAGTCTTAGTGTCTGGGTGGAGGCGGAATGGGCTGACACCTAGCGGGGAGGGGGGCAGGGGGCGTGGGGAGCAGAGGGAAGAGGGCCGGGGCCACGGAGAGACTCTCGCCTGCAGGTTTGCCAAGGATGCTGGGCGGCTGCCCACCCCAGGCCACCCTTCCGCTCCCGCGTTTCCTCCTTGATATTTATTCATCGGTTGCCAGGTTCCCTGCTGTGGGCTCTGCCGATGCATGAAAGTCATTTTTCGCTGCCTGCTCGTCTCGGAGAGAAGAAGAGTCATGTTATCCCATTTCATCAGCCAGGAGCCCGTGCTCAGATGGGGCAAGGGACTCCATGCTCGCAGCATCCGGGGCCCGCGAGAGGGACAGCAGCAAGGAGAAGGGCAGCCAGCCAGCGAGGAGGGACTCTAGGTGTCCACCTCCCTCTGCCACCCCATCAACTGTGTGACCCTGAGCCAGTCTCTGCGCCTTCTCTGTGCTGTGTCCTGGTTGGAGAAACGCGGCATGGGTTGGGCTGACCAAGCCTCCCTCCCTAGCGAAGAATCAGGCTTCCCGCGGCCCACACAGTAGACAGAAGGCTGTTTTCCCTCTGAGCACCTTGGGGCACTGTGTTTCTGGAGACTTCATCCCTTCCAAGGGCTCTGTGCTAGAGAGGCTTGTGATTCTTGGTTTTTTGGTGTTTGGGTCACACCTAACTGAGCTCAGCGCTCATTCCTGGCAGTGCTTGAGGGACCATATGCACTGCCAGGGGTCGAACTGGGGTTGGCCTCATGCAGGGCAAGTGCCTTAAACTCTAGGCTCACTCCCTAGCCTGTGCACATGAGTTTTGTTTTTTTTTTATTTTTTTTTATTAATTCACCATGAGGTACAATAATAAAACTTCCATGTTTGAGCTTTGATCTTACGGTCATCAAACACCCATCCCTTCACCAGTGCACATTTTCCCCCACCAAAATCCCCAGTACCCCCTCCATTCCACCCCTCCCCCTGCCTGTGTGACAATTTGCAAAATACTCTTTCTCTACTTTAGTTACCTTCGAGACCAGTCCTACCACCCTTCATACCTGCCGAAAATGCAATGCTAGACCATGTGTTTTGTCTTGCTTGTTATGGATATAATACAATGTCGCGTGGCCGCGAGAGTGTCCGTGTACTCTAGGAATTCTAAGATTTTTTTTTTTTTTTTTGCTTTTTGGGTCACACCCAGCGATGCACAGAGGTTACTCCTGGCTCTGCGCTCAGGAATTACCCCTGGCGGTGCTCAGGGGACCATATGGGATGCTGGGAATCGAACCCGAGTCAGCTGCGTGCAAGGCAAACGCCCTACCCGCTGTGCTATTGCTCCAGCCCCATGGAATTCTAAGATTTTAATAATTAGGTTCTGAAGAAATCACTGCAGCAAGTTGCTCGAGTCCGAGATGCATTTGTGTGTCTCTGGATCATGGCCGTGTGGGAGCTTAAGTAGATGGTGGGCGGATGTGGCCCACATCTTGGTGTCCCATCAGGGCGCGGGGGAGGAGGGCCCACTTCTCCCCTGCCCTGTGAGACTTGGGATTTGCCATCACCATCACTCATACCTGGAGCTTCTCACTCCACTTCTAGAAAATGGTGGCCGCCGGAACTCCTAGAGGGCCATCTCTGCAGCACGTTGCTCAGGTCCGAGATTTGTTTGTGTGTCTCTCCTGCACATGAGTTTTCATTCAGAACATTCACCTTCAGGCAGTTGCGTGTCACGATTATTTCTGGGAAAACTCACCTGGCATGATGGTGCTCATGGCAGATGTTTTCAGTCAACTGTCTGTCTGCTGACTGCCGGTCCTAGTGATGACACCCCATCCCTGGTGCCTTCCCCTGCCCCCCACCCATACTGCGGCAGGCTTGACCTTGTCGCCCTGCTTCCCTCGGGCAGCCTGAGCTGGTGCCACCCCCAGCTGCACTTGGCACTCAGGGCTGGTTCTTCTTGTTTCCAACAGGTGGGCTCACCTGAGCAGCCCCAAGCTTGTAGCAGTCGGAACCGAAGCCACCTGCACCCTCCCATGTGATTTCCAGAAACATCAGCGCGAGCTCTTCCTCAGAGTACCTGACTCGGGCTACCCAGGTAAGGAGCGTGGCGCCAGGTGGGTGTTGGTTGGTTGTTATTGTCACCTAGAAGTTCCAACCACAGAGCACCCCAGTTTTCTGGATCCCTGAACCCGGTCTGAGTCCTCCCCCCCTTTTTTGTTTTTTTCTTTTTGGGTCACACCCGATGATGCACAGGGGTTACTCCTGGCTCATGCACTCAGGAATTACTCCTAGTGGTGCTCAGGGTACCTATGGGATGCTGGGATTTGAACCCTGGGTCGGCCACGTGCAAGGCAAATGCCCTACCCGCTGTGCTATCGCTCCAGCCCCTGAGTCCCTTCTTTAGCAGGAGACTCCCACGGCTGAGTCTCTACCATCAGACAGACCTGCCCCCCTCCCCCAGTTCCTAGCTCTGTGTGCGGCTCTGGGCAGAGCCTCAAACTTCCCTTGCCCCAGCTTCCTCGTGGGTCATACCAAGAAGCAACAGCGCCTGCTTCTCGGGTTTATAGGGAACAGAAAAGGTCACATGAGGAAAAAAGGCTTTGAAACAGGACAGGTGGGGCCAGAGCAGGTCAGGTGTTTGCCTTGCACGGGGCTGACTTGAGTTCTCTCCTCTGAGTCTACCAGAAGTAATTCCTGAGTGCAGAGCCAGGAATAACCTCTGAGTATTACTCGGTGTGACCGCAAAACAAAATAAACACACACACACACACACACACACACACACACACACACACACACACAGGACAGAGCTGCCAGAAAATCAAAACCCAAGAGTCATGCGCTGTTAACCTACGTCTGCACTCATGGCTTCCTCTACTGCGTGTGCTGATGGCTGGTCTTGGGGGCAGAAACACGAGGCAGGGGTCTTGTTCTGTCTTGTTCTTAGATAACGCTCACCTCTTTACCCTTCTGCTCAGCATACTGTTGAATGAAGGAATAATTGAATATGCACTACCTATTTCATGTAAAATCTTAATGACAAAACCTTGCAGGTCCCATCTTCAGGAATATGGGTTTAGTTCTTTATGGAAAAACTCCATAAAGCAGTTCTTTCCATGAGAGAGAGTTTGGTTTACTTTGAAGTAAAATTCTGCTCGAATCAGGATTCTGCTACACAAAAATTATGGGGGGGGTCCATGTTCCCCCTGTTTTATGAAATCCCCCTCCAAGTTTGGTCTGCACCCCCCAGGAGTAATTCCTGAGTGCATGAGCCAGGAGTGACCCCTGTGCATCGCCGGGTGTGACCCAAAAACAAAATAAAAACATAAAAATTATCTGGAATGATAGCACAGAGGGTAGGGCGTTTGCCTTGCACTCAGGCAACCCAGGTTTAAGTCCCAGCATCCCATATGGTCCCCTGAGCACTGCCAGGAGTAATTCCTGAGTGCATGAGCCAGGAGTGACCCCTGTGCATGACCCAAAAACAAAACAAAAACAAGGCTGGTCTACATGAGGGGTCTGTGCTTCCCCTGTCCTGTGAAGCGCCCCCACTCTGGGGCAGGTCTGCACTATGCATCCCTCCCTCCCCACCCTCATTCTCTCCATTCTGGTCAGCCAGAGGGGGAATCTGAGAAGGAGAGCATGCCCATCCCTTCCACATGTCCCACTGACCCGCATGGGGTGTGTGCATTGCTTAGCTGCAAGGTATGCTAGAAGTCTTCATTCTGGCCATGACAATTTTATACCAAAGGAAAAAGAGGGAGGTAAAGATACTAGGGAACTCTGCCAACTGAGATTATTCCCATCACCCCAGTTCTTTTTTTTTTTATATCATCTCCCTCTTCCTCCTCTCTCTCTTTTCCTCTCCACAGTTTTACGTTTTCTTAAACACCTACTTCAGGCTGGCTTCCTTCATTGAAGGGTGCCCCATGTCTTTTCGAACTTGATAATTCCCTTCTTTGCTGAATGCTATTCTAGAGGGCAGGCTGCCAAGTGTTTCCCACTTGCTGATTGAATGATGTTCTCATGGCTTTTGGTTGGGAGCCATGGTGAACAGTTGCTGGAAACTTCATTCTTGAGCTGGGTTTTGTATGGTTATGCTTTTAATCATTGAGCAAATACTTAGGCACCTGACGACTGAATTACATGGTAGGAGTCTGTGTAGCTTTTTGTTCATTTGTTTGTGAAGGGCGAACATGGCAAAGCCTGGCAAGCTACCCATGATGTATTCGATATGCCAAAACAGTAACAACAAACCTCACGATGGAGATGTTACTGGGCTCATTCGAGCAAATCGATGAACAATGGGAGGACAGTGCTACAGTGCTACAGTTTGTAGGGAGTGACCACAACTAGCAGTGTTCAGGGGCTATTCTTAGTTCTGTGCTCAGGAGTGATCCCTAGCAGTGCTCACGGAACCATATGTGGTGCTGGAGATTCCAACTGGGATTGGTAGGACGTAAGACAAGCACCTTTGCTTCTGTGCTATCTCTGGCCCAAGTTTGTAGCTTGTGTGTGTGTGTGTGTGTGTGTGTGTGTGTGTTTGAGCTGCACTTAGCAATCAATGCTCAAGGGTTATGCCTAGCACTGCACTCAGATTTCACTCCTGGCAGTGCTCAGGGAACTACATGGGAAGCCAGGGATCAAACTCTGGTCATCATGTGCAAGCAAATACCTTACTGGATGTGCTATCTCTCTGGCCCCAGTACATACAACTTTTCAAGAAGCTTCCAGACTGCCTCCCAGAGTGGCTGTGCCATTTCACATCCCCACCAACCACGACTGAGAGTTTCTGTTGCCCCACAGCCTCTCTAGCCACTACTGTGGTCAGTTTTGCAGACATCTGTTGTTCTATTAGCTGCGTCATGGTCTGATCCCCGCTTTAAATGCAGGACTTTGAGATTTAGAGAGGGCAGGGAAGAGAGCCAGGAACATCTCCCAGAACTTTTGAGATCCAAGCCCTGCCGACACTCTTTTCTCTCCACTGAGCGACTGGACTCGTTCATTCATAACATCTGCCTTTGACAGCCAATGAGGTGGGCCAGTGAGTGGACTTAGACAAGGTCAGAGGATCTCACTAACTCAGCCTGAAAATAACCCAGGAGGAGTCAGGTAGCTGAGAAAGCCCACTTGACTGAGGGGACGCCCAGTCAGGTTGCTCATGCATGCACAGTCCTGGGGTCCAGGAGGCCCATGGATTCATCTGCTGCCTGGGTAAGCAAAGGCCAAAGACTGGCCACAGGGGAGACCACGGTGAGGAGAGGTTCAGGCTGAAGGAAGGCAGACAGATGGGCTAAGAGCCGACACTCAACTCAAACCTAACTAACAAGAATATTTTAAACTTTTTATTGGTTTCCAATACACGACCCGAGTTCGATTCCTCCGCCCCTCTCAGAGAGCCTGACAAGCTACAGAGAGTATCTCGCCCGCACAGCAAAGCCTGGCAAGCTACCCGTGGCGTATTCGATATGCCAAACACAGTAACAATAAAGTCTCACAATGGAGACGTTGCTGGGCCCGCTCGAGCAAATCGATGAACAACGGGAGGACAGAGACAGTGACAGTGGCCATTCAGGACCTGTTGATCCAAGAGGCAGAGCTGAATCCAAGGCCCCTTTCTGAGCCCTCTGCTTCAGTCCTGGGGCACTCAGTCCCTGACATGTGCTCTCTCGCTCTCCCAGCTTCTGAGTAGGGCACTGACCAGCAGAGTGACACCCACCCCACACCCCACTTCAAAGCCAACCCAAGAAAATCAGCTTTCTCTCTAGGAATGACAATATACATTCCGGAGCTGAAGCTTATTGGTTGTTCTGGAGTCACATGAACACTGCTGACCAATCACTCCATAGGAATTACAGTGTCAATTCCAAGCTTAAAACTTATTGGCTGGTGGAATCACATGATCACTGCTGACCAATCAGTGAAGGCAGGAAGAAAATCAGCATATGTTGATTGGTCAGTGTTGAGGGGCGGTTGCTGGAAGTGTAAGGGGATTGGTACCCCATCTGTAAACCCAAGGAGGAAGAAAGGGATGCTGGACCCAGCTACCCACACCCATCTACCCCTTGTGGGTGCTTGGGCAAAGGCGGAGTTTAGGGACAAGCAGGAGGACTGGGTCACCCGGTAGAGCCCTTCTGGGGGATACAGTGCTGGGTAGCGCCCTAGAAGGGGGTGCCTCGTTTTCTGTGCCCACAGTGTCCGAAAACGTGAATTACACAACAGTGTAGCTCCAAGTGGTATTTCACATACCAAAGAATTTCCCCCCACCCGAGGTCCTTCCCACAGAGACCGTTCCCACTATCCCCTCCCCAAAGCTGACCAGAGTTGGTTTTTCTGCTACATTATTTCAGCCTACACCCCCCCCCCCCCCCCCACACACACACACACACTCCTTACTGCTGGGAAAGTTTCTGGAGCTGCTTTAAGGGTTTATTGGCTCTAAACGGCCTCCCAGAGAACCAGGAAGGGCCTGCCTGCCTTCCCCCACCCCAGAGCCATCACCACCACCACCACATCAGGCCTCTGGAGGGAAGGGGAAAGGAAGCAGCACCCCCTGATGGAGCAGAAGCCCCCACAAGCGTCTGCACCCCACCACAGCTCCGTTATGCATTTCGGGTGCAGTGTGTGGGTGTGTGATTTCATTTGAAAAAGATTTACTCAGCTCCAAAATGATCAAAAGCCCGACTTCTGGCACCACCTCCCAGGCAGCTGTGGCCAGACGGTTTCTAAGATCTGTCCCTTGTTTGATTTCCATCAACCACGTCTCCCAACCCCTACCCTGGGCCCCCCACTCCGCGAGTCCCCAGCCTCTCTACCCTGTGACTTCTGCAGCTCTACCTCACAGGGTATGCTCGCAAAAATCCGTCTCAGGCTGAAGATACCAGGAAGTCGAAAATACAGTGGGTCACACCTCCTGAACATCTGAGTCTCACGTCCTTAAACGTGCCCCGACACCCACCATCTTATCGGAGCCCGCACGATAATCAAGTGTGGGCGACCTCTTCGCACTCATTGACTGTGGCACCGAAAGTGACAGGCAGGGTGGAGCTGGGTGCTCACGGTGACCGAGCTCAAGTGAACTGCTGGGTGCTGGGG